ATCTTGAAGAAAGTGTTGTGTGCTTAGTCATGAATACGGAGAAAAGGAGATTCACAGCAGGAGACTCAGAGCTGTATTCAAACAACAGGGAATCTCCTGTACCATCAACACATGGATCTGCAAGATAATGCTCATTATTAGGTCAGAGTGAAGAGGATTTATGTTGCAGGGTTATACAATGAAACACTGTGCATCCCTGGGCTTCATAAGTTACGGCATTTATATATTAGTTTGATCTATTTGTAGAACCTGGGGAATATTTAAATGTAATAGACAGAGATTAGTGTCTGCAGTTAAAGAGGACATTTTATACACATTTTCCGGTTCATATTTGTATTTTGTGCCTCTACTGTGACATGTTTAGATACTCTAATGTTCAAAAAGGTATTTATTTTTCTCATACTTCCTGTACTGCAGCACCTTCTTCCAGCCTCTGTCTGCTGTTATGTTTATTTTCAGGTTTCGTAATTGTTTTTCGTGACTGTGACATGTTTACATGCTTTAATGTAAAAAAAATGATGAATATGTGGTTTATTAATAATAATTTGTAACAATCATGTACAAACAGTGGCATTGTCATTTAATGTAAGTGTGAAGAGAATCTAAATAATTCACTGTCAAATTAATTTGTGGTTGATGGTGACGGCCTACGAGGTCAAAACATGAGAACGTTTGCTCATTAGAAAAAATCTCTTTTATTGTTAAAGATGGTCATGAATGACTCTGATGATGGGCAACATGAGACGAGGTCACAGTCCTGCTCGCAGGCTAGTTAATGGTGCAGCAGACACAATGAGGTGTCCGCTCAATTCAATGTTTTTTTTCTACATGAAACAAGAAAGCTTGAGTTGTTATGTTGATAATGACACCAAGATGCACAGGACCATGCTGCACACAGCACAGCGTGTGCACAACAATTTGTAACTTTGTGGCAGCGAGAGAAACCCAAACTGCAAGATTTTGGGGGAAAAAACGTAACTTTTTCCTCCAAACTACTGGTGATATATTGCAATAAGGGATCGTTCCTGAGGAACATGTCAATAAGTTGGGAGTTTAAAGCTTCAATGAATAGGAAGTTGTGTGGGTAGATATAATAAAAAACGTTTTATAGTATCACGAATCAAACTTAATCCATCGTCATAACCTGCACAAACAAATCAATAAAACATGAAATCAGGCCATAAAAATAAAGACTGAGACTTTCACAACTGCAGAGGATGTGGCTGTGTTTCCTAAACAAATGAGTGTCTATTGCCATTTTCCGCGGTGTTAAAGGGGCCCTACTATTCTTATTTTCAGATTTCTTAATTGTGTCGTGTGCCTCTAATGTGACCTGTTTACATGCTTTAATGTTCAAAAAGTGGATATGTGGTACATAAACTCCCTCTGGAGGGAGCTTTGGATGTAAGCCTTTGCAGACCATGCATGCACAAAACCCTTTAGAACAACCTACAGGAAAGAGAAGACCAATTCAAACATAATAAGGCAGACCAATTTGAGTTTTAATGTATTTATAATACATCACACTTTTATTGCACTTTTCTAGTCAAGCAAAGGACCATTTAACTTTAGAGCACTGACCTGTGGCACATTGACATCGCTGCATGGATCACCTCCAGAAGGAAGATTGACCTCTGGATAATCTTTGACACGACTCATGCAACTGGGCCAACGATATAACTGTAGAAAGAGAAGCATTACTGAACATTAGTCCTTTCATGGTTGGTTCAATTGTTATTAAATTAATTAATAACAAAGGTTTTGCACAACCTCTGTTCAATGATGTGGCTGTGCCTGTTGCTGTGGTGCTGGGTCGTGGATCCTGAGTCGTGGATCCTGAGTCGTGGATCCTGAGTCGTGGATCCTGGGTCGTGGATCCTGGGTCGTGGATCCTGAGTCGTGGATCCTGAGTCGTGGATCCTGAGTCGTGGATCCTGAGTCGTGGATCCTGAGTCGTGGATCCTGAGTCATGGATCCTGAGTCATGGATCCTGAGTCATGGATCCCGAGTCATGGATCCTGAGTCATGGATCCTGAGTCGCGGCAGTGCCTGTCTTTGACTATCACCTTTTCTTTGATGGCACCCACAGGGTTGTTGACATCCACCTGGATTCATCTTCTTATTTATAGACACAAGCATTTTCAACAATTTGGTCTACCTATGTTGTAAATATATTATCTTTTTAATTTACACACATGACATCTATTGCACGTCTGTCCTTCCTGGGAGAGAGGGATCCTCCTCCGTTGCTCTCCCTGAGGTTTCTTCAATTTTTCCCCGGGTTTATTTGGAAGTTTTTACTACGTCCAAGGACAGAGGGTGTGGTATACATTTTCATATTCTGTACAAACTGTAAAGTCCAATGAGACGAATGTAAAATGTTTGTGGTATTGGGCTATATACATACACTTTGAATGATTGATTGATTATCTACTGAACTGTCTTACTTAAATAATGAGTGTGACGCTGCATCCAAAAAAAGCCAAAACATTTTCGTCCCCAATTCAGCAACAGACTGGTGATGTATTTCTATCCGCTCTGAGGCGCTGCTCCAACATGTGATGTGCAGCACTGATCACCAAGGCTTAGGCTACGACTACAAGAGCTTAAATGAAGCTGTACACATTGAAAGTGACGACTAGAGGACCTTTTTTGTGAGTAAAAAAAGAAGAACTTCTACATTCTTCTCTGATCTTTTGGTCATAATCTGATACCCTTGGGGAACCAGCAATGGAAAAATAAACTATAGAAGAGGAAGGAGAGACGGCTGAGTCATCCGATAAAAAATATGAGAGAAAAAAAAATCAAAGGAAAAGAAACAGAAAAAGGGAATGAAACAAGTAAAAGCTGAGGCAAGTAGCAGGATGATTCATCCGCGAGCTACTGTCTGCATATTGAAAACTGTTAGAGAAGGTAAACAGTGGGTCAAAATAATCAATACTCTTTAAAAAAAATGGGCCTTGTCCTCTACATTCACCTTCATTTCGTTTTAGTATACAACAGATCAGTTTCAATTCAACACAAACACTTGATCACTGGAGGATACATTACATTGATCGAATTCCCAAAAGACTAACCCTAATCTTAAATCAAAGATAAAAACAGAGTGTGTGTGTGTGTGTGTGTGTGTGTGTGTGTGTGTGTGTGTGTGTGTGTGTGTGTGTGTGTGTGTGTGTGTGTGTGTGTGTGTCTGTTCGTCGCCTGAAGAACATACTACAGATCTATTTTGGGGGGCTGCAAGTGAAATCTCCTCATCTATAAATAGGACGATGGGATACGGGGGCGCGCCTCGCAGTCCCGTGCGTCGGTCACCGGTAACATCTATTTTTAGAAACAGCACGGATTACCTCACGTGAGGCTGGTGACGGGTTTGCAGGTTGCGAAATAGCGGCTGATATCTGCGCGCGGATCTATTTATTCATGAATGCCATTCATTAAAAAGACTTCACATTTCATTGAGTTTTTTGAACATCGTCCTTGTAAGTTTAAACAGAGAAGAAAGCGCTTTGGCACTAAAACGTCATTTGTTAAACAGTTATAATCTATAATAGGAATAATATGACGTTGCTGGTGTTTGAAAGTCACATGGCGATCTGTTTGTGCTGTTTCATTCAGTATGTGCAGATGGTACTGCTCTGATGACTGCGAGTCCATGTTTTTATACTAATATGTTATCTAACTCACAATCTCCAAATACACTCAGAAACGCCTGTTAATTGTCCTTTAGAGTCTGACAAAAGGTATATCGTCCATCACAAGGCAAAGGAGATTTGTCTTCCAAGTATTTAATAACCTGATTTACGTCAGTCGAAGATCATATTAAACAAATGAAAACATGCAAGCCAATATTGAGAAAACAACGTTTACCAAATGCTAAAGATTGCGTTGAAATCAAAATATAAGATTGCAGTGAAGGTATGGGAACATGCGCAGCAGCAAAACATTGAGGCATATTTTGTGTAGGTGGATGCATCCATTACTGTTTTCAGCAGCTCAGGAATCATTTCCATTCATAAAAGGCGATGCTGCGATGTAAAACACCGTCAGCAGCCATGTCCTGTGTGGCGTTCACTGTCATCAATATAACATGTTTATAATGTTGACATTTAATGCGGTTAAACTGAAATGAATGAATTGCACCGAACAAGCACCTGTCTTGTTTACCGACTGGTCCGGGGAAAACACTCAGGAACGGTGCCTCGATCCGGTGCCAGACATATACACACAGATACCTCTTTGGTATTCAACGCAGTCTCCCCTTCCTCCTCTCTTCCTCCCCTGCACCCCTCTCCCCTCCCTCCTCCTCAAATACACCGGAGTCCGGTGACTCCGTTTACGTTTTACTCTCGCTCCGCCCCTTACTCGGTTTTGTCCAAATCGGGCTTTTTGCGTCGCCGGAGCTCCCGATTTCAGACCTACGTCATCACCGAGTAGAGGGAAGAGCTGACGTAGGAGGAGAGTCACCGAGAGGAGAGGGCACACGGGAGGGAGGGGGGAGAGCCTCTCCATTGCTTACACTGATACGAGACATATCCATCCCCCTTGGCCCCCATTTCCTCACCCCCCTCCCTCCGTTTTACGTCGGTGTTGGTGCGTTGGGAGCCCCCTACTCCAGCGGAGACCCAGACTATATAAGTCACCGGCGAGCAGAGTCCCTCAACCAGATTTACAGGTTCCGGACTTCCGAGAGACGGCTACCACAGCCTGCACTCCGAGAGGAGGGATAGACATAGCAGCCGGCCAGCATCCGAGCTGGACGCTGTGGCGGAGCTAAAGCAGACGGAGACAGGACAGGAGAAGGTTTTAAAACCTTTCTCTGGAAAGCAGAAACATAGCTGAGATGAAAGTCCAATAACAAATATTTCCCCCCACTTCTACAACCTGTCTCTTAACACATCACGGGGACAGGGCAGCCGAGGCACACCGACCACACTCTGCTCGCAACTCTCCTAACTCACATCTGGAGGAATTTGGACAGATCACCGCAACCACCAGCCACAATGTACCGCTCAACCAAAGGAGCTTCCAAGGCTCGACGGGACCAGATCAACGCCGAGATCCGGAACCTGAAGGACTTGTTGCCCATATCTGAAGCAGATAAAGCACGGCTCTCATACCTGCACATCATGTCACTAGCCTCCATGTACACCAGGAAATCCGTCTTCTTCACTCAAGGTAAGAATAAAAAGACCTGTTGATGAATCTCATGTGCTGCATAGACAGACTCTCAGTGGTGGATCAACAAGTGTTTTAGTGGCACCGCGGGCAAATTGGGATAGATCTCTCTTTAGGACAAACTCTAGATATGTGGGTCATTTATTAATCGATATAATCTCATAAAAGCGTTTAATAGCAGCTTGTCGTTGTCCGTGGTGCTGAAATTAATCAGCGCCATAAATACAGCCGCGCCGCTGTCCATGGTGCTGAAACACACTGCAGCTACTGTTATGCTTCATTGCAGAGATCAGATATCATATTTACTCGGTGTGTTAACACATTTTTGTTCTGTGCCGTTCTACCTAAAGCGGGGACTGCTGCTAATCTCGAGGAGTGCGCGAGGTTTCTGTCTTTCCACGAGCTGTCGGAGCTGACGCAGGCCCTGCCGGGATTTCTGATGCTGGTGACCGGGGAAGGGAAGCTCCTGTACCTGTCAGACAGCGTCTCCGAGCACCTCGGACACTCCATGGTGAGTCTTTTGAAATGATGCGTTGTTCAGGGAATATTCTGGTTCTTCTTTGGGCTTCATAAATAACATGTCTGTGTGTTTTTCAGGTGGATCTTGTGGCACAGGGAGACAGTGTTTATGATATCATCGACGCCTCAGACCACTTTATCATGAGGAGCAACCTGTCAGTCTCCACCTCACTTGAGACCGGTAAGACAAACATACAAGTGATATTTATTTAATAATCAAATGCGTGTTTGGATATGATTTTGTTAAATAAAACATTCATTTTCTCCCCCACAGACCGTCTCTTCCGCTGCCGTTTCAACACCTCCAAGTCCGTGCGGAGGCAGAGCGCCGGGAACAAGCTGGTTCTGATCCGGGCTCGCTGCCTCTCCCCCCCCTCCGGAGCCCCTGCCGCCGGAACCTACTGGACCGCCAACACGGTGTGGGTGTGTTTCTGCTCCCCTCTGGAGCCCCACCCGAGCCGCTCCGGCCCCGGGGCAGACCCGGAGTCCACCTCCACCCCTCCCCCGGCGGACACCAACTTGTTCCTGCCCTGCTTCCACTCCGAGCACTCCCGGGACATGAGGCTGCAGACTGCCCAGCAAAGGTGAGCCCCGCCCCCGAAACACACAGCAGCTCCACCTGTTGCTTTAATATGTAATGTAATCTGTTTATAAGTTGGGTAAACAATTATCCTGCTAACACGTCACCTCCCACTCTCTCCCACAGTGTGAGCGCCTTTCTCGGCTTTGATGTGACAGATTTGCGCTCCTGCTCCTGGTACAGCCTCCTCCACCCACAGGATCTGTCACATGCCTCCGCTCAGCACCGCAGCCTATGTAAGTGTACTCTTCTTCACGCATAGTTACAACCATGCATTGCCCACACAATTACACACACACACATCGTGCCCACCGGCACATCCACGCAGTAAAAACACACTGATGATTAATAGGATTACGAGCCGATGCCAACTTGTGCTGTGTTTGTTGCTCCACAGTGAGAGAGGGAGGAGAGGGCAGAGCTGAGATGGTGGTGCGCGTGCAAGCCCAGGACCAGTCGTGGGTTTGGATCTACATGGTGCTTCAGCTGCAGCCCGGTGAAATCCCCATCAGCAGCAACAACTACATCATCAGGTATTTACTTTTTAAACCCCCAGTGGTGGAAGTACGTATTGTCCTTGAGTGCAATGTTGAGGTACTTGTTCTAGAGTATTCCCTAATTCTACTTTATATATTTCTACTCCACATTTCAGAGACTTTTTGTACTTATAACTCCAATACATTTATCTGACAGCTGTAGTTACTTTAAAGATCCTGCATAAACATACATACACTTTTACCTAAGTAACATTTTGAAAGCAGGCCTTTTACTTGTAACAGAATATTTCTACACTGTTGCTTAAACCAGCCAACATCCTAACCCCCGGTTCCTCCTCTGTTTCTTCCCCTCTCAGTGAGTCTGAGGCGTGGTCCGTGCGTCAGCAGCTCACCTCCGAGGCGACTCAGTTGACTCTGGTTCTGAGCAGCGGCACCTCTCAGCAGGAGGGTCTGAGCCTCCAGTCCCCAGAGACCCTGTCCAGCCCGGACCAGGTCTTCACCCCGGGCAGCAGCGGCCTCTCCGCCCAGTCCTTTGACTTCAGCACGGCCGGCTGCAGCGTGGGCTCCTCTGATGAGCGCGGGAGCTCTGCGGCGGAGGCCATGCAGGTGGAGGGAGACCCCCGCTCCAGTATCTCCTCTCTGGAGGAAGACAGCTTCTTCAAGCAGCATCCCCCCGAAAGCCCCTCAGCTGCTTCCTCCCCAACCCCCGTCACTGTTGAAACGGTAGCAGACTTGGACTTTTTGACCCAGAACATCCTCCTGCCGCCGTCCTTCCAGCTGGACCCCGCTCTGCCAGCTCTCCCCCTGCCACTCCCCCCCTGTCTCCACCTCACAAGCTCAGCAGCAGACCAAAGAGTTTGTGTGCACACCGCCCTATACCCCCCACATCGTTGGGTCCAACTTCCCCTTCGGTGAGCCCCTCTTCAGCTTTGAACCGGCTGGAACTACCACTCCACCTCCTTCTACGACAACCGCCACCTCCACCACCTCCATGGCCCCGACAGCTTCTTCCTCAGACCCCCCTACTACGACCACAAGCCCCTCTCCCCCCACCTCCTTGTCCACCAAGCTCCCCCTCACCCTTTCCACCACATCCACTGACTTCCTGTTCCCCATCGAGCACGGCAGCGGCTCTCTGTACGAAAAACTCCCCCCCACGCCCGACAGCCCCGGGGACGACGGTGACTGCACAGTGATGACCCTGCCCGAGGTTCGGGGTCCGCTGTATGTAGATGTTCCATTTGGGCCCCTCCAGTCTCCCCCAGAGGGCCTCCTCACCCCTGAGGCGTCTCCTGGTAAATACCCTTACCTCTCCTTCTTCTCCCTGGAGAGAGAGAGGGAGAAGGAGAGGGCAGAGATCTCCCTGTTAGCTCAGCACATCAGCTCTCTGGCAGAGGGCTTCTACCTGGATCCTCTCCTGTCCAAACTGTCTCCTCCCTCCATGTCACCCTCTTCCGCGCCTCCCTCCCCCTTCCTGTCACCCGCCGTAGAAACTGCTGATGATGTTGATTCGGGTCACATGCTTAGGGAGTTTTATCCCATCAAAGCGTGGAGAGGCCTGGACATTCCCATGTTCCTCGACGATGACGAATCTCTGTTTGAAGAGAGCATCTTAGAAACCCTCCTCCAAGACACCTTCGTTCCCCCCCAGTCCCCCAGCCTCACCTCCTCCCCCTCCCCTATGCTGAACCCCTGCAGCCCACTCTCTCCTCAGACCCCAGTGTGCTGGCGCCAACCCTCCCAGTTTGAGGGAGCGAGCCACTTCTGTAGCGTCCAATCGGCGCAATGTAACTCCACGGCCGGGTGCGGCGCGGCTGCTGAGGCCCGGGCGATGGCGATGGCGGAGGGTGAGGGGCTGGCGGAGGAAGCAATGGAGATCGAGGTGGTGTCATCTCCTGTGTCTTCCTGCTCCTCCATCCCAGCGTCCCCTCCCCTCATCCTCACGGCCTCCCCCAGACCAGCCTTCTCCACGCCCATCGCCTCGCCTGGGCCCGCTGTGTCTTGCAATCAGTCCCTCCTGGAGGAACTGGCTGTCCTGGAACCCATGTTCGGGGCAGGTGCCTCGATCGCCCCTGGCTTAGGGCAACAACCTGAGTTGTATCAACTCCAATGTCATCCATCGCCACAGTGCTTCCACAAAGGTGAGAATCTGTCTGCTTGAGATGCATTTTTTATTTATCTATAAATGAGAAACCCTTTCTGGATTATCCCCACTAACGTCCTCTTTCTCTCTTTCCCCTCTTTTTGTCTTTCAGATGGGAGTGGAAGTGTTCCTCCGTTCTAAAATAAGTCTGTGACTTACTTCATTAAGTATGGCATATTGTCATATTTTGTGGAGCCCCTTTTACTGCAAAGTAAAAAATGATTAAGTGTATAAATATACATAATGTATATACAACTTAAGGACTTTAACTCCTACATGTCTCTTAAGAACAAAGATTGGCTTTATATTTTTGTTCAGTCATTAATCTGTGTACTTTTTCAAACGTGTGCAACATTTACATGATGGTTCGACCACATGGACTCATAACTGACTGGGTTTTGAGTCCATGTGGCGTCTTCAGCTTCTCTGTGACACGAGCTTCAGATATGATCAGAAAGAGAAACCTCTCTGAACTTGTAAGCGCTGTTTAACTTCCAGATGCGCATTTGTATTCACTCGTAGTGAAAAATCTGTTGTGAACAAAAAAAAAGAACATTTCTTGCTATTTCAATAGAGAGATGAATTATAGCACTTTTGCCTGACATGCAGCGATGCAAACTCAAATCTCAAATGTATTGGAAGTCAAATGTTTACAATTTCCCAACATCCATAGGATGACCACTATTTGCACATCAAAACAAGGGCTCTTCAGCGCCAGTACAGCTCTGATTCGATAACCCTCTTCCTCTCAGCCTTAAAGGCAACATCTAAACTAACTCATTAACAGTTATTCAACTTGAACCCAGACATACTTTGAGCTTTGAGTTTGCGGCTTCAAACCTTTAACGTTTCCTATTTATCTCTCCATCTAAAATCTTGTGTATCATTGTGATGTGCAAACAAAAATGAAAAACATGTGTGGAGATCCTGGCATGTGAAGATCTCGAGGATGTTGAAGGTGTCCAGTGCTTTACGAGATATAACACCGAGCAAGAAATTGTCTGGAAGTTTCCCGGAGCTCTGATCATGCTACAAATCCACTGCTTCGTCGTACTGTACATTAGACTCTGAATGTGGGCTCTTCAGGTCCGCTGGCCTGAGGGCACTCGGCTGGATATTGTTGCAGCATCAATATTTGCAATGCTGGCAGCTTATAGCGGCTCCTGTGTGCCTGACACGGCCCTGACCTGCTGAACTCTGAACTCTTTATCAAGTCCATTCAAACATGGACATTGACATCGTTGCTCCACTGGAGTGAGGCACAATTGACTATGTGAATGAGCGATTCTTCTTTTTTGAGAGGGGTTAGAATACAAAAAGTTTTGTTTTAAAAAATGAAAATAGGGATGGGGTGCTATTTCTATTCAGTTACCAAGCGACACGGGTTGAGAATGGTACTATTCCCATGGTGTCGACATGCTCACGTAGAGTTGTCTACGGTCAAGTAAAGGATTGATTCCTACGTTCTAGCTATTCAAGGCTAAGTTAATATACATGTGTAAAATGACTATACTGTATGTGTGATATTTGAGAAAGATGTTATTGCATATGCATTATGTCTGTGGATATAGGCACATGTTCTTTTCAGAAAGGTTGTACACATTTGTACATTTGTATGAAACAGCTATTGTTCTGTATATATAGAGAGAGATTTTTATGGCATAAGATGGAATATATTGTGAACATCTTACTTACTGCAGAATGGACATTGTGGACCAGTGTTCTATTGTCTTATAAGTGTATTTGATTGTCATACAAATGCATTTATATTAAAAGTGCTCTTAATGCGAATGATGCATTTGTGTCGTCATAGTCAAGCCCCTTGTTCCTCCCTCGGCCTCATCATCATCATCATCATCCCACCATCCCTGCCTCTTTTCCTCCCTCCTCCATTTCTTCCCCTGGAGCGAGTTTCGCTCAGCAACAGCACTGACGCACACACATGACGAGATAGAATGAGACACTATCTGACTCAGACTGACGCACACTCTGGGCATCGAGGTTTTTTGCGTGCGAACGTTTGCACGCAGGCAGCCTCCCACTTATGATGATGCGCGCACACACATAATAGTAGGCAATATGACCCCCCCTCCTTTCTGCCACCCCTCTTTACAAATCACAGTAGCCCACATTCACTCCATCGAGGTACCTGCGACTCCATCAGCGGATGACGCGGTGCGAGACTCCATATATAGGCATTCCTGCTCCCGTCTATTCTCAGCATCCATTCAGAAGGATCAGAGAGGGGAGGGTTGGAGAGAGAGGGGAGACAACGGAGGAGTGAGAGGAGGCTAAAATTAGAGGTACAGTAAAGATGATGCTGTCGCCACACGATGGAAAGGTGAAAGAACATCAACATTTTAAGAAAAAACACACAATAGATTTTCTGAGAATCCAGATAGATAGATAAAACATAGATAATTGGTTTTATGGACCTTTTACTGTCAGGTTTTATCACCTGTGTCATAACATAAGAATAACAACACACCTTATATTACTTGTGATGAGAAAAGACTGTAAACATTATAGTGGTTTTCGGCAAGGGAACATTTTGTACCATCACTCCTTGCTGCTGCTGCTGCTGCTGCAGTGTCTGATGGAGTGAAGATGAGCAGAAGGAGGAAGAGTTGCTCAGCTTACTGCTGCTCTCTTCTGGCAAAGACATGCACTGCAGCAGAGAGAAGGAAGTGTGTGTGTTGTGTTAAGAGGCCATGTTAGAAGAAGGTTATGAAGAGGGCAGGTGTGAAGGACATGTTCGCTGAACCAGATAATATAACAGCTGCTATAAGTGACACTATTCGGAGCTTACATGAAGGTTAAGTATATGTAGGGCTGGACATGGGGGACATCTAGGGCTGCAAGTAATGATTATTTCATTATCGATTCATCTGACGATTATTTCATACATTAATCCTATATTCTGTTTCTATTATATTTGATTTGATTTACTTATTTTATTGTGTTGTACTGTTGGAGGAGCCTGTGACCTAAGATGTTCATTGTCATAACTACACTGTATAGCTATGCACACAGTACAATCAAAGCCTTGAAGCCTTGAAACCTTGAGGTCTATACAAATGTCAGAAAAAAGTGCAAACTGTGCACCTCAGTGTCTCAAAGTCCAATGTAATGTTTCTAAGTGTCTTGTTTTGTCAGTCCAAAACCCAAAGATAATAGAATAGATATCCTTACCCGTGATGACAATATGTTATACAGACAATAAAGGCAATTATCTTTACAGATCCCAGACTCAAAAGTGTCTGTAAGAATAAACTTCAAGCATTTAACAATGATGTTAAACGAGAACATCGCAAATCCTCACGTTTGAAAGGCTGGAAACAGGACGAAGGTATTTTCTGTCTGTATCTATCAGACTGTTTAACTCCACAAAATGCTGGCAATTTGCTTTTTATTTTAATTTGTATGTTTATATATTTATTGTGTCTTTTATATTATATAGTACATTCTATTTTATTTCACTTATCTTGTATTTTATTCATTCACTTTAATGGGACCATTGTGACAAAAAACAGTTTCCCTCCTGGGAGTATTGAAGTATTTCTGATTCGGAAAAAAAGAAGAAAAGCGGGGAATCTCCACATGAGGATGAAAACTGAATTGTCTGCGATCTTTGCAAAAATGACCTAAAAAATGTATTATTTGTCAAAATAGTTGGTGCCTATTTTTCTGTCAGTTGATTAATCGTTGCAGCTCTTTTGAGAACAGTCAATTATTAATGGAGAGGTCCTGACGAAAAACAATACTCACATGCAGACTGTTGTTGCTCCTCATGTCCAGAGTGGCCTGTAAAGTCACCTGTTCCATCTTTGAAATGTCCTCAGACACCATTTCCTTGCAGAGCTGTGGACGAGGAATAATATCACAAAGGATGAAATGTCTGCTTTTATCCTAAAACTTTAGAATCTGTTCTTTATGCGAATACACACCCACAGGACAAAGGTGGGAATCGAACCTCCAACCTTGTGATGTATAGATGACTGTTTACTGCCTGGGAAACGGCAGACGTTGATCCTGGATGATTCCCAGACTGAACTTTAGAGGTTTGCGAGGGGACAATCACAGCAAACAATTTCAATCTAAACATGGACGTTGTAGGAGCCATTTCCTTAGTTTATATTATTTTATCTTTTTAGAGTACATAGTCTCAGATTCTGTGGTGTATATTATTTATTATTTCATTTGAGTGTGTTACTCCTGCAGGTCGAGGTGCTGCGGCCTACTGGTGTGGCTGACTGAAGCAAACAGTTTTTAGACCTTGCTGGTTGGGAGCGTCACAGCTTGGTTCTTTATTGTGCCTTTAACATTGAAGTATCAGTTTATATGACAAATAGTTTGTTTAGATATTTATATTTGCCTTTTTTGGAATAAACTATCTTACTTTTCAATCACATCTGGACATTTCTATGTTTTCTCTCAAACTACAAGCGTCTATTCCTCAATATCAATACAGGCAAATGCAATTTTCTTTATTTAAATCCCAACATAATAGTGAAAAGAAAAAGATCCCAGACTCAACAGTGTCTGTAAGATTTGGCTTCCACCATTAAACAATGACTTTAAACAGGAAATCCTCACATTTGAAAGGCTGGTATTTTGGTTCATTAATGGCGTAAATGGCTTAATTGAGTTTAAAAATGGTTGAAGTCTTATTGGTTATTTATTATTTCCGCATTGGTTTGATGTTTATTCATTTACATTAAACCAAACTCCTTTTGTGTTTAAAACAAAAGTTCATTAAAGGTGGAGTATGTAATTTATTTCAGAAACACTTTTTGTTATATTCCATGGAATGCTCTTAACATCCCGATAGCAATGAATACATTACATGCTTTGACAATAAATACATAAAAAAATGTCATCTGTGGAAGCTGTAATACTGTAAAAAGCACGACCAATCATTTTAGCGGCCCGGCTAAAATAACTGGATGGCCTACCTGCCTGTCAGCCTTCCATCTGTGCACAAACTTATCTCGTGCCCTCATTGGTCATGTGCGCGTTCGTGTGTGTTGGAGGAGGGGCTCTGTAAGGAAGTGGCAGATTTTTTCCGGTTGTGTATTTTCAAATTCTAGCGCACTCGAGCTGGTTTCTCCAAAATTACCTACCCCACCTTTAAGTCATAA